TCCACTTCTTGTGCATAGCACGTGTATGCGGAAATCCCCTAGGTAGTTAGAATTAGAGAGCGTTTGAACTTGCAGGTCGTAACGTGGGTTCGTGAATTCATACTAAAACTTGTCCTTGTATCATCAAGCAACAATGTTCGCGTTCCTCAAGCAAATAATGGCAGAAAGACGCGCATTCGTTGAATTCGGTAATGTATAGAAATAATTAAAATCCATAAGATCGTAAGACGTCCATTGATTTTGTAACCTGTTAATCCTTGCTGTTTATACAGAACCTGTATCGCCCGAGTCCGCTAACTCCATGAATATTAGTAAGAAATTTTTGCACATCCTAGAATTGTCGTTTGAAGCAAAGAGCCTGATCTATGACACGAAACTTTCTAAACCCGGAATGCAGTCTAAGAAGAAAAAGAAACTCGGAACGATAGAGGAGAGAGTAGATGTGTTGTATCATAATGTAATTGACGTTTTAACGGACACGAATTTTGACGACATTATTGCTCTAGCGACAGCTTATCACAACATAGGTTTAGGAAATGCCGCTTTAACAAACCGTGACAATCTTGAGGGCGCCGTAAGATCCTTTTCAAGAACTTTGCTATTGTTGGAAGGAAAAATGCTGAACCGTAAAGCTATATTGATATCTATAAGTGCTCTCAACGAATTGAATTTAGCTTGTGGAAAATTGGAGCAACAGGATACTCCTAAATTGTTAGATATAGCATTAGACCTTTATGTTAAATACGTAACAAGGAGTAATAGTAATTGGTATCCTGATCCTATCAACTTGGCGAGTGTTATTGGCATTAAAGAAGAAGAATCAAATCCTAGGATTATGTTGCACAATTTACATTATACAACCTTACAGGACCATGCACTTGATTACCTTGCAAATCCGAAAAATAAGCACGCATTTGTAAAATATTTGCATACCACATTAAATATCCGATTGACAGATATGATATCCAATGGAACACAATTTGATGAAAAATACGTTAATTGGGCACTAATGTTATTTGAGCTGTCTAGATACTTCCTGGCAAACGGTCGTTTCAGTGAAGCAAAAAATCACATCGCTCTTGCAGATTACGTGATATACAAATTTTTTGAAGATAGATTGAGTAAGATAGAGGAAAGAGAGAGAGAACGGTTTAACGACTTGCACGAAAGTTATGATTATGTCTGTGCCATGAGTAATAAATTTTGGGGTTCCTACGGAGTTTCTCTTTTACGTTACTGGATGAAAAAGTTCTCGCATAATAAAGAAAACAAGTCTGATGAGATAGAAGATGTTTTGTCGCTATTGAACATAGAATCCGAGAAGCCAGATTTAATATTTTCTGACCTAGAACAAGTATTAGAATGCATAACAATTCAGATCACAGAAACATGTATATTAAATCATACTGATGCCAAATCGGTTTTTATAAAAACTTTGAGATGCCTTGATTCGGCAAAGGAATATTTTGTTGCAGACACTGACATTGAGACTCACACAAAAATAATACTTAAAATTTCGGAAACGTACAAATATTTAGCGGGTTTTGAAGAACAATATGATAAGAAGATAAAACTGCATAAACGACGAGTGGAATGTTTGGAGGACGTCCGTCGGAAATTCAATGAAACAGTTGATACAAAGACAGAATTACAAATTTATAAACAGGTGTGGTACGAAATTGTGGCTTCGTGTTCTACGATTGTAAATTTAATGCTCGAAGAAGCATATTATGACGAAACATTTAAAGAGGTATCAACAAAGTCTGATCGATATATGAAACTGATCGCAGAAAATATTAATTTATATTTTAGTGTAGTTTAGATTTTTCAACAAATTTAGCTCTTTTCTTTTCAAATCTGTATGTCTCGCATTTGTGACTTTACATTGGGGAATACTATTCAGATGAATTATCATACAATTCTTGAATGAGCCATGTTTCTAAACGTTTTTATAGGACAGACATACGTGCAAAAACATTTAACGCTATTGTATTTACAATTAGTACACTCTTGTAATTTAATTAATAATCATTTACATAATATGCAATGTTACACATAAACGGCCAAATTGCAAAAGTTAGCAATGCTTGTAGAACTGTGTGAGAAAAATATTGGACGAACAATTTGAATTTTTAAGTAATTTCTGTTTGTTTAACAATTTGAAGACAAATACATTTTGTAAAATTAAGTGCATTGACAACAAACTAAGAATATATTAATTACCTTTTTTTTTTACCATTCTCCTAGCAGCATGTTTGATTCCAAAGTAAAATGCATTACTGTTAACTTGAAAGAAAAAACTAATCTTGCTCGGATAGTGTCGAGCAGGAACATCAATATCACTTTTATATAGTTACAACTGGAAAAGAGAGATTGAACGTTTATGTTCGTTTACAACGCGGAATGTATAATTAAAACTTTCTGAAACGCGTCTTGCAGAGAATTGATCAAATATTAATAGGATTTGAGGTATACTAACAAACTCCCTGAATTTTCTAACTGCTGGGTAGAAAATCTTATCTGCTTGCTTTGTGCTTTACACGTTTTGTCTCTGCTTGCTCCCTCTGAGAGTTCCTTCACTGATTTAAAATTGAAATTTATCTTGACAATACATCAAGTATTAGCGAGTGAGAAATGTTTCAGCTTCTAGTTGAACCAATATTTTTTGCTATGTCAGCTTTCATATCAATAGAGGAAGGTCCTTTATTATGAGATAGGATTCTAATATGAGATAGCGATGTTTCTGTTAAATTAATAGGCGTCATCGGTTGATTCCATCATGAATTTATTGCCCTTTGAGCGAAGTCTGTTTAGTAGAAAATTCGTTGTTGGATTGTGTAATCGTAGCGAAAAAAGATTCGCGATTGAATTTGGACGCTGAAAACTTGCTCTATCTCGTATTAGAAACCTATCCCATAATAAAGGACTTTCATCTATAAGAGGAATTTTAGATAATTATAAAATAATTAAATTATTGATATCAATCGCATTGAATTCAAACATATTGACACGCAATTTCAAAATTACACCACTAAATTCGAGCAAATTTTATAATAATTTTTTGCTGCATTTTATCAATACTATTCATATTTTGTAAATTATATTACTGTGTTCAGCACAGCCCTTGATGATTTTGAACGGTACCTGCTACCTTCGAGCTGAAAAGTGGGGCAAGAGTTCCGCTATGTCCTATTAAGTAAATAAAGTAGTATATGTGCATCGACTATCAGTGACACACCGACGCACACATTCCACTTTATTTACCTAACAAGACATGGCGGAATTCTTGCCTCACTTTTCGAATGTAGCAGTCTAGTAACATACAGAAGTCTGTGGTTGAAACCTTCGGTCCCTCCCAGTCTCGCACAAAACACGTGTCCTGGTAAGTCCCCTACCTAAGCTTTAGAACACTCGATCACTCGCGACACGTCAGAACACGCTTTTCTAAATTTATCTCGAAAATTGTCTTTGTATCAATATCGAGCAATAATGAACGAGTTTCTTATACAAACAATGGAAAGAAGACGCAAATCCCTCCAACTTGGTAAGTCATAAAAATAAAGTGGATCGTAAAAGAGTTTCGTATAATAATCTTTTAATGGAAACTTGTGCTGTCTGTACAGAAGCGAAGCCGCCCTCTGAGAACGCTGAAAGTATGGATATTAGTAAGGAATTTTTGGAAGTCGTAGCATTGTCGTTTGAAGTAAAAGACCTGAGTGAAAACAACGTGTGTTCTGAAGGTGACCAAATTATTAGACGACTAAAGAGCTCAGTGGATAAATTGTTTGATGTGGTCAATACTCAAGCAGACGTAAAATTTGACGACATGGTAACTTTAGCGGTAGTTTCTTGTCATTTTCATGCAACAGACATACATGTTAAAATGTGCAATATTCTTACATTTATTATGCTCTTGTAATTTTGTAGTCAACAATATTTTATTAAGCCCACTTTACACGATCTATAATTCGCAACAGAATTCGAGACAGAATTCCATTTTTAAATTTTTATGTATCATGTAATACAGAAAACATTTGAACAATCAGAATTATAATTATAATGCTTCAATTTTGTAAATAGAAAAGATGCAGCAAATATGTGTAGCGCATGAAAATGCGTGATTGATTAATTGTATCTGGTCTAATGAAAAACCTTAAGCATTGATTGCTGTGAGTATTTGTGTCCAATCGGCAGGGAAAACGGACCTCATCCATATGTACATACATCCTTAGAAAAGATTTCTGTTACTGAGACAAAAAATATTCTTGACGCATTTCTATTTCTCGCAACCTCGCTCAGTATAAAAATAAGACAATATGAAAATAAAATCTATAATTCTTATTCTCCTCTATCGCATAAAAAGATTGACTTACTATATTGAGATAAGAGTAATTTGTATAAATTTAAGTTTACATATTTTTGCGTTTAGATTTAATTTTCCCTCAGTTTTACAACGTACAAAGTTTGCACCACGATATTCGACAAAGGACGATACATACCATCATTTTATTCTAGATTTTAGAATTTTTCATTTAAGATTAAAATATTCTTTTCTCTGTAATATATAAATATGATTAGCGCTATATGGTTTAGTCATTGGCTGATCAGTTCATATGCACTATTTGACACAATGGCCGCGTTCAGCAGACACAACTGTTGAGTGAGCGCTCAGTATGATTGGTTAATACTTTTAGATCCAGCCAATCATGTTAAGAAATCATTGAGCGCTCACTCAACAGTTGTGTCTGCTGAACGCTACCAATGGCCGCGTTCAGCAGACAACTGTTGAGTGAGCGCTCAGTACGGATTGGTTAATACTTTTAGATCCAGCCAATCATGTTAAGTAAGTCCCAGTCTACAATAGATGATTTAAGCCCTAAGCTTTAAGAAATTGGCCAATCACGGTCAAGTATGAGTAGAATGCGCGACTGTGATTAGTCAATTTCTTAAGGCTTAGGGCTTAAATCTCTATTGTAGACTGGGACTAATGGCCGCGTTCAGCAGACACAACTGTTGAGTGAGCGCTCAATGATTTCTTAACGTGACTGGCTGGATCTAAAAGTATTAACCAATCATACTGATCGCTCACTCAACAGTTGTGTCTGCTGAACGCGGCCATTGATCTCCCTGGTAAAAATTCCGTTAGAAATTCGGATAGAACATGCATTAAATTCTATC